GGGATTGTTATAGTGCGCCGGGCAATCTGACACTAGGTGGGAACTGACTAAATTACACTGACACTAATACAATGATATAAACTGTCACTGTACCAATGACACTGGCTGGGAAGGGGTTAACATTTAGGGGCAAAGGATTAACTGTGTGCCAAACAATGTTAACTGTGTGTACTGTTTTTAGTAACCAATATGCCAGTTTTTACTCTCTGCTTTGCAGGTAAAAAGAACATGGCACATGACTGCTGTCCGTAGAGAGCCCTATGTTGTTTTACCAATACAGGGCTATCTTCTGCATTCGCTCAGCGAGTTCTGGCCATAAATCTCTGATCAGCTTGTGCTATGGTAAATGACAGCACAACCAGGGCAGCACGTACATATACACGATCCATCGCAGTGGGACCGCTCTGCTGCAACATATCTGTAGTAGGCGGCGCCTAACTGGTTAAATCAGATTCTGAACGTGCTTAAAAACACTGTGGAGTTTAACCATTTTGCTGGCATCAACATATGGCTTACATCAGCAGCAGCAGGGGGAGGGGGGGGGGGGCAGGGGTACAGGTACAGGCACACACACACACGTAGCAGCTCAGAATATACATAAACATCCCAAGCTGTCAGATTGAAGAATTGGGTAGCTTTACACCTCCATGGTACATTTGCTTCCCCCAGCACACAGGCCTGCACTCCCATCTGCAGATCTCTTCTATCCAGTAAGAACTCAGAAGCAATGTGTATTACATCACTTCCAAGTTCGACTGCCACTTTCCCTAGCCACTGGAAGAAGCTAATGAAGAGTGAACTGTGCTTCATTAGCTTCAATGGAGGGCAGGTGAGACATTAGGGGTCTAAAAAGCATGCCAAGGGAAATTTTAGGGCATCGAAGCTTGTCGCCATTTCACAGGCATGCACAATTTTAAGGCTTGACATGTTGGGCATCTATTTACAATCTTTTATATTTTATAAAAAAAAATTAAACATTTTGCATTTTTGTGCTGTAAAGATGTTGCACCGGATAGATCGCTGTGCTGATATTGAGTGACAAAAAATTGGAACTACCACCTTTTCTTTCTCCAGTTTAGTTTGGTTAAAACCCCCCCCCCCCAAAAAAAAAAAACCCACAAAGTCTATCTAGTTCAACAAATAAAACAGGAAAAAACCCCAAAAAACAATCCTATATACACTTCCTGCACCACATCCTGATCGCAATGCCCTTGTGATCTGCTGTAGGAGTCAGTTAAAAGTAAATGACACCCAAACGCAGGTCGCAAATGGATTGCATTTGCCAGCACCAAATTGCATGGTAGAAAGTACCATGTGATGCAGTTGCCATGCGCTTCAAAAGTAGTGTATGCACTACTGTTGGTTCGGTGCGATTTCAGCCTATTTAAACAAATGGGCCTGAAATCACATTGCACAGAGCCACAGATGAATTGCACGGAAATGCACAGTGCATTCCTGTGTGATTCAGCTTGGGGCATGGTGTGAACTAGCCCTTAATCTTTTTTTCTTCTAGGAGTAAAGAGTGCCCCTTGTCCTCTGTGATGACCTTAAAGCGAATAACTCTACACCAAGTTCACTATATGGACCAACTATGTATTTAAGCATGTTGATCATATTCCCCTTAACCTCTTCTTCTCAGAGAATAAATTCAGTTCCTCTAATCTCTCCTAATAGCTGAGCTCCTCCATGCCTCTTATCAGTTTGGTTGCCATTCTCTGTACTTTCTCCAGTTCCCAGATATCCTTTTTTGTGAATTGGTGCCCAAAATTGAACTGAATATTCCAGATGAGATCTTACTAATGATTTGTACAGGGGTAAAATATCTCTCTCTGTAGCCTATACTTCTCATAACACAAGAGAAGATTTTGCTCGCTTTGGAAAACTGCAGCTTGGTATTGCATGTCCTTATTAAGCTTATGATCTACCAAATCTCCCAGATTCTTCTCCACCATTGATTCCCCAGTTGTACTTCCCTTAATATGAATGCTGCATCAGGGATGTGCAAATCCTATCGCTTGGTGCCCAGGACATGTAGTTCCAGCCGTTGGGCAGGTTGTTTTTTCTTTCACAGTCGGTAAACAGGGCTGTTGGTAAACAGGGGCAGAATGGATGCAGCTGTGCATGCTGAGTGTAACACTCGTCCAGCGAGCAAGCAAACTCCCCCCGTGCCGCACAGACTGGAGAGGGAAGGAGAGAGATCGTTTTGCTCTACCTTTTCCCGCCCCTCTCCTCTGTGTCTGTCCCGCCCACACTCCAACCCTAGCCAGTGATTTCTTGAGGAAGGGAATGTGTGGGTGGGAAATTTGAAGATCCATCTGGCTGTACCAATAATGTCGCTGTCTGAGCCTACAGAGAGCAACCTGGAGTGAATGATCTCTGTACTAACTGAGCTTATCTCCCTCCCCCCTCTGTTCTTTTAGGAGTATTACACACTTCACCATTGCATGTCCAGTTAGCAATGGAACTGTGATGTAAGGGTGCACTCCGCCGCCCGATGCAAGGGCGCACTCCTAAATATAGAGGTAATGCTGGGGACTTTGATGCAAGGTAGGATTTTGAAGTGAACATGGTTTGCATCCTGACCACTGCACTCTATACGGTTTGTTTTTTTACTTATGCCTGACCCCTGTACTCTATACATTATACTGTACATAGACCTGACTAAGATGCTCATTGTCCCAACAGTTGCTGGTATTAATGAAATTCTTCTTTAAGGTAGGCTCAAGTAAGGTAGCCCATACATTAGTCATTTTTTTAATTCAACCAGCAGGTTGAACAAAAAAACAAACAAAAAAAAACCCGATCCGACCCTGATGGATACTGGAGCTTGATTTCTCTGCTCTGCATGCGCTTGTACTGAGCACCAGGGGCGGACTGACCATTTGGAAACTCGGGCACTGCCCGAGGGCCCGGAGTCAGTAGGGGGCCTCATGAAATGCCCCTGGTAGCTTTTTCATAGGCTTTTTTGAGTTTGGACAAGGACACAGGGGCCCCATGATCCCCTATTGCCCAGGGGCCCCATGAGTTGTCAGTCCGCCCCTGCTGAGCACCCAAGTGCTTCCGTGTGCGAGGGTAATTTACTTACTTAGTAGATGTGCCTCTGCTGAGCGTTAAGAGGGACTGATACTCCCCTTTCCTGATGAGCACCCAATCGGTGCCCATTCCACTGCAAGGCCTTTCCCTTGCCGGCTAGTGCCCGGGTTCAGTGCTGGAGACAGGCAGGGAGGCAAGTAGGATATAAATAGTGCAATATTAAAAATATTAAAAGTTTAAGTCATCATAAAGCCCCTTTCATTTTTAAAAGATCCAGACATTACTAAAAGCAGCTCTGCCTAATAAAAAAACATCAACTCTTTGTAGTTTCAATCTTGGCAAAGCCATTTCAAGGTTTAAAAAAAGGGACATACATCCATTGAAAATCCCTCGTGATAAAACTGTCTCAGTCAGTAGTATTTTCTGTAAACACAATAGCACCCCAGTACTGGTGTCAGTGGACACAATAATAGCCACCCCACACTGATGTCAGTTAATGGAATAATAGCCGCTGATGTCTGTGGACACAATAATAGCCGCCAGCACTGGTGTCAGTACTAATACTGAGGGGGCGCCGCGCCCCACCCCCCCAACAGTGGGTGGTGGTCACTGGTCACTCACAGTAACATTTACACCATCTACCCCTATGGTGGTCATGATGGCAGTGAAATGTAATTATGTAATTCCCTCCGGATAGAGAGAAAACAGGTGGCGCACACACCTAGTGCATTATCCAAGGTTTATTGTAGGAAGTAAATCATAAAAACATACTCACAGACGAAGCATGTATCTAAAAAGCATAGAAAAATGACAATGGCCACAACGGCGGGCAAGGTGTTCTCACTGTCAGTGCGGTCAAATGGCTGACGCGTTTCGGGGACAAATCCCTTTCCTCAGAGCTGATGACCAACCTGTATGGAGGTCAAGTAGTAAAAAATAACCAGGGCTAGATGCCTTGGGAGCAAAGCTCCACCTCCTCTACTTGTTATAAGATGAGGAGTTGGAGGGGGTTATTTAAAGTGCAATTTTTTATTTGCTTTGTTTCTTAGTGCATGCATATCTCTTTGTATATGTGTATATGCATGTGTATATATGTATGTATATGCGTTTATAAAAACTACAAAAGATTGCACTTTAAATAACCCCCTCCAACTCCTCATCTTATAACAAGTAGAGGAGGTGGAGCTTTGCTCCCAAGGCATCTAGCCCTGGTTATTTTTTACTACTTGACCTCCATACAGGTTGGTCATCAGCTCTGAGGAAAGGGATTCGTCCCCGAAACGCGTCAGCCATTTGACCGCACTGACAGTGAGAACACCTTGCCCGCCGTTGTGGCCATTGTCATTTTTCTATGCTTTTTAGATACATGCTTCGTCTGTGAGTATGTTTTTATGATTTAATTCCTACAATAAACCTTGGATAATGCACTAGGTGTGTGCGCCACCTGTTTTCTCTCTATCCAGTGGCTGATTTCCCCGTCTGAGGAGGGCTGCACCCCTGAAGCATTTCCTTTGGTTGTCGCTGTCCTGGTACCCTTGGCTTCCCTTTTGGCTGTGCATATCCTGAGGCGCTGGAGAGTACATACGCTATGTAATTCCCTCCCCCTGCATTGGTGGTCAGTGGCAGTGAAATTTAACCCTCTCATCTCCTCCAATGGTGGTCTCTTATCTATCACATACTCCTGCACTTCTCTCCCCCTCCCTAGGCCGGGACTTGACTTGTACTGTGGGCCGAGATAACTCACATAATGGCCAGTTTGCTAACTAGAGCAGACTGAGCGTATGAAAGGTAAAAATACATGCTTCTGTACATACAACTCTCCAGGTAACTGTATTACAGTCTAATAACTTGCCTAGGTGGGGAAGCTTGGGCAAGAAACACTTGATTTTTCCCACCAATTTGTAATAGTTTACCTAGTCAATCAAATCATGTCAAAATCAGAAACTGACTAGTTTTCTAGATATTACCTTCATATATGCAAACTCCTTCATGGCAGCCAGGCGTGACAGATAGAGCCATGACATCTTGTGCCGGTGTTTGTGATAATCCCGCTTATTTTTAAGATTGCGAAAGGAAGTTCTTCCAAGACGATGAAGTTTTAATGCAAGTTGCTGCTCTTCTTCATTTGCAACAATATAGATGTCTAGATACAGAAATGTACAAAATGCAGGTAAAAAGGTCACTGGTGCACATTAAATCAAAACCAATACATCTATGGAAAGCTTAAACTGAGCACAATGAAAATATACAAACTCAATGAAAACCACAAAACATACAGGCGCTCCAAATATACATGGAGCTGAATTGATACACAAATGTAACTTGTACCTGTCAAAGTCAAGCTTGGGTCTTCTCACTCCTGCCTTCCAAGACTCTGTAGTTGTCAACTTATTAAAGGATCAGTAAGCAGATATAACGGTGTAGAACCAAGCTTTACTTTTAAAGGAAAAGTCATGATTTTCCCTTTATTCTTGATCTGTTAAAAGGTTTGACATACAGTTTTCACTGCAGGTGAGCTCTGCTTCAGATTGTTTTCAATATAAGGTAGGAAGTCTGTATCCATGGCTGGTCACTTGAACGTTGATTACATGCTTTCAATTGGGCTGCTTCTTGCAGCTAATTGTGGGAACTCCCACTGGGGTTCTTGCATATAGTTACAGGCAGGGTGTTTGCAAGTGTTAATGCACCCTAAACTCAGCCTGACCAGGTTAACTTTGCCAAGCAAAATCCTTTTTTTTTTCTTATTTTCACAGGCCGGGAAAGGATTAGAACTCCATCCTAGTTTTTACTGCTACTACCTGGGGCTCCGTTAGTGAGATTTGCCACCAATTCCTTACCTGCTGACAAAAGTTTCACCAGATGGAGAATAAGGTTGAAGCTGCAACATCAGATCTGTGGTTCTAGACTTCCCCTATTCTACTAAACAAAAGTAAAATCTACTCCAGTACAAGTGTGTTGTGGAGGCATATTGGGGTGTCATTCAAAATGATTGGCATCACAACACATATACAGTGTATTTCCGTGCACATTTTACTATGGGGGTAAAGTAACACTAATGAGTGAATGAATCCCAATTGTAAACTAACGGAGCCCCAGATAACAGTAAAAACTGACAGGAAGGTTATAAAACTCTTCAAATCTATCCAAAACTAATAGAAACATTTTTTACTGGTCAAATTTTAAAGCAATAGGTAGAAAAAATTAAAGTGGCTTTCTTTTTTTACAAAGCAGCTAAAACAGGTTAAACTGCACCAGCAAAGAATTCTACATAATCTCAGTAGTGTCTCAAACTGACATTAAAAGCAGGCTGCATTTGCCATTAAAGCTCATTGACACTGACCCTTAGGGTCCTTTCACACAGACGTTACTTTTTTTTATCAGTTCAGTCATATTTTTTCAAAGAAAAAAACAGATCAGTTTTCATCAATTTTTTTAATCTGTTTTCATCCGTTTATTTTTAACAGAAGAAAAATAGGGGTTTTGTCCGTTTAAAAAAAAACCCGGATAGTTAACAGATACGGACATTAATTGATGATCAGCCATTTACATCTTCTAGTCCATAGAAATACATGGGTGTCCGTTTTTTGTCCGTAAACAGACAGATGAAAAACGGACATACGGAACGCCCATGTGAAAGGGGCCTTAAAATGCTAAATGTACTTGCATTGTGCAAGAAGTGAATTTTCACAGGAGTTGGGGTAATTGGCTCCCCCAGAAGGCAGAAGTGAGGCCAAGTGACCTTACAAGGATCTACATGACGCATCCAGGAGAAAGGGTTCAAAATTGTTTTCTCTCTATTAGCTTATTTTTTGAGCCTTTCATTAGTGTTTTTGGGGGTGGGGGAATGAGGGCTTATCTCAGAAGATACAACCCACCCACAGACTGTGAGATAGTTCTTTAACATACAATAAACTGAAAAAATAATATATAGGCAATAGATTTAGTAAAGCTGTGATTAGAAAAACAAAACAACCCCCCCCCCCCCAAAAAAAAAAACAAGGTTAAATAAACTCTGAATGCTAAAATAAAATACAATAAAGGAACTGCTGCCATGTGAAACGCTTTTCTGAATCACGATTTTCTTTGTAACTACACTTACCTGATTCTTTTCCAACACCCATTTGGTTTCCAACTGAAGTGACAACATCCCGGGAAGACAGAGTTTTGAGTGCCAGATAATCATAACCTCCGTATATTAGCCGGTAACCCTGAACAGCTAAAAACACATAACAGAAATTATTTTTCAAATGAATGTTCAAATCAAGGCTTTTTTTGGGCAAGAGGTAAAATTTCTGTGAAGTTTGCTTTCCTTAACCACTAGCCCGCTGGAAGGTTTACCACCCTTCATGACCAGGCCATTTTTTGCTGTTCGGCACAGTGTTATTTCAACTGGTAATTGTGTGGTCGTGCAATGCTGTACCCAAATGAAATTTATGTCCTTTTTTCACACAAATAGAGCGTTCTTTTGGTGGTATTTGATCACCTCTGCGGTTTTAACTTTTTGCGCTATTAACAAAAAAAAATTGAAAAAACTCCTGATATTTTTCAATTTTCGCTGTACAAAATATCCAATAAATTCAAAGTTAGTTATACATTTAGGCCAAAATGTACTCTGCCACATGTTTTTAGTACAAAAAATCCCAATAAGTGTATATTGATTGCTTTGTGTGAAAGCTGTAGCGTCTACAAACTATGGTATAGATACTGCAATTTACACTATTTACTTTCTGACTGCTCATCACATTTCTTAAGGTGCTAAAATGCCAGGGCAGTACAACCCCCCCAAATGACCCCTTTTTGGAAAATAGACCCAAAAGGAATTTGCTGAGAGGCATGTTGAGCCCATGGAACATTTTAATTTTTGCCACAAATTTTTCGAAAATGAAATTTTTTTTTTTTTTTTTTTTAACACAACGGTGTCACTTAAATTATATATTGCTCACACATGCCATGGGTATATGTGGAATAACACCCCAAAACACATTCTTCTACTTCTAAGCATGGGGATACCACATGTGAGAGACTTTTTGGCAGCCTAGCTACATACAAGCCCCCAAAATCCAATGACCACCTCCAGGCTTTCAAAGGGTATATTTCCTCATATTACTACCCCACTACCTATCACAGCTTCAGAGGCTCTAAAATGCCAGGATAGTACAAACACACCCTCAAATGACCCCTTTTTGGAAAGTAGACACCCCAAGGAATTTGATAAGAGGTACGGTAAATATTTTACAGATATCATTTGTGTCACAGGGTTTTGAAAAAAAAAAAAGAGCAAAATACATCTTTGTTTTCTTTCTTCGTTTTCCAAAAATATGTGGCAACAAATGAGATCTGCAAAATACTCACCATGGATCTTAGCAAATACCTTGGAGTGTATACTTTCCAAAAAGTGGGGGGGGGGGGGGGCTTTTACTATTCTGGCATTTCAGAGCCAACATTAGAAGGTTGTGCCACACATCGCCCAGTCTTGAAGACCAAGCCTTTTCTGACTTTTTGTTCCCATGAAAAAACAGGGTTTTTTTTGCTAGAAAATGACTTTGAACCCCCAAACATTATATATTTATTTAAAGCAGAGGCCATGAAAATTGTGGAAGACGGCAGGAGGGGGGATGTCCCGTCCCACTGCTTGTAAAAATGATTCAGCAGCTAATTGGCCACTAGGATTGCTTTTACATGAAAGCCGACTGTCAGCTGATAAAAACCGATACCAGGATGATGCCTGTAGTTGCAGGCATCATCCCGGGATAACCACTCAAAGTCCAGCGATATACCAGTACATTGCTGGTCCATGTTGGGCATATACCGTATTTTTCGCTCCATAAGATGCACCTGACCATAAGACACACCTAGGTTTTAGAGGAGAAAAACAAGAAAAAAAAATATTCTGAACCAATGGACTGCAGACATAGTACAGGAGAAGGACCAGAGACTGCGACACAGTACAGGAGATGACCAGAGACTGCAGACACAGTACAAGGAGAAGACCAGAAGACTGCCAGACACAGTACAGGAGAAGACCAGAGACTGCGGACACAGTACAGGAGAAGACCAGAGACTGCGGACACAGTACAGGAGAAGACCAGAGACTGCGGACACAGTACAGGAGATGGACCAGAGACTGCGGACACAGACAGGAGAAGGACCAGAGACTGCGGACACAGTACAGGAGAAGACCAGAGACTGCGGACACAGTACAGGAGAAGGACCAGAGACTGCGGACACAGTACAGGAGATGACCAGAGACTGCGGACACAGTACAGGAGATGACCAGAGACTGCGGACAGTACAGGGGATGACCAGAGACTGCGGACAGTACAGGGGATGACCAGAGACTGCGGACAGTACAGGGGATGACCAGAGACTGCGGACAGTACAGGGGATGACCAGAGACTGCGGACAGTACAGGAGATGACCAGAGACTGCGGACAGTACAGGGGATGACCAGAGACTGCGGACAGTACAGGGATGACCAGAGACTGCGGACAGTACAGGGGATGACCAGAGACTGCGGGGAAGTTCAATATGGACTTTTTGCACATTGGACTTTTATGCACTTTATTCTTTTTTTATGCACTTCATATTGAACAGATAATTCACTTTAGTACTTGCACTTTATTTCCTGAATGTTTACCTAATATTGGTTAGGACTGATTTTTTGAGTTTAATGTATAGAGGATTGGTATCACAATCACATAAGTAGCTGCTTGTATCTCTTTTTGGTTTATTTTTAGGTTTGTTTTCCTGTTTGTGACCCTATTGGGGAGATTTTCCCTAAGACTTGTCCCTGTGATGCCTGGGAAGTAGTCGTTACAGGACAGGAAGGCAAAGGCAGCTATAAAAAGGTTCTAACCATTCCCTGCTCTACTAACTATGTGTTTAAATTTTTACCTTTGTCCCAAAAAGGATGGAAGGGTAAACCTTACCATTAGAAACACACACAACTTTATTGTGTTTTATATTTTTATTGTGTATCATATTGTCTAACTTTTGTCCCAAATTACCTGAAAAACAGCTGTGTACTTCAAGTGCCTTGATCCTTCTAGCTATTTAGCTCCAGTCTGATATCATCCAATGCACTGTGCCTGACTGCCAGTTTCAGGAAATCTGGAGTTAGGTTTGGTGAGGTCACTTCTGTGCTGCTCACTGTTCTCCTTACTGGAAAGAAGGAAAGCTCTGACATACAGAAGCAAAGCCCTGCTCCTCTACCAAGATAGGCACATCTCAAGTGAGCCACTGTGTAGAACAAGCCATGGTAAGCCAGTAACTTAGTCAAGATCACTTTACAGAGACAGTCCCACACTTCCCTGCTCAATCTAAGTTAATATGTTTTGACTGGGGTTGAACTTTAAATATTTAAACTTGGATGTATGTATTACATTAATTAAATAAATAATACCTGGTAATAGTGACATAAAAAGGTCCTTGTTCAGGGACATCCTTTTGTACGGCAACAAAGCTCTGTCCCTGGATCCCAATTGTGCACTTGCTTTCACCCTGTCACATGGGTTTCCAATTGAGATAAAGTGGCTATTTCTACACACATTATGCAGACAATTTCCATGATTGTCACAATGCAGAAATGGCATGCAACCATCATTGTAGTGCATACATGTAGACAGACAGTGGTTGCAAATAAACTGCAGAACAAGGGCACCAAGATGCAACAAAGAAATTTAAAAAAGAAAAAAAAGAGGCATTTTTCTCTTAAATATGCAATTCAAAGACATTTGTTTACTGTACACACTTTTCATGGTTTTTGTTTCCTTTTATAAATAACTGTTTCATCTTTTTGTTTTAAACCTGTTATATCTTAGTGATGCACACCTTCATGCAGGACAGGTTTCCTAATGGCAGTGGACTGTGCCTGTCTAATTTATAATGATACAGCTACTTGTAGTTCCTATAAGAAGCTTGTGACAGAGTGACAATACAAGAGCAAAAATGGGAGGCAGGGACAGCCTCATAACAAGAAAAAAAACCAAAAAAACAAAAGTACATGTGAACAGTCAGGTCGAAATGATTCCAAACAATACTACAGGTAACATCACTTGCAGTATGACAACTGAACATTTTGAAGTTATTTTAAAAGAAAAGACTGTAAATACATAGTAAAAAAAAAAAAAGGTTTAAAAAAACCCGCACAGAATTGACCCGAACCCACAGTTTCCTTTTTTTTTTTTTTTTTACACGATAACAGAATTGAAAGTCACCATTAACCAGTTCAGTTCTTTGGACATACTACATATATCCAAACAGCGAACTTTTAAATCGCAGGCTGATGTCTCCATAAAGATGCCCAATGCTATCACATAGGGGATTATTAATCCCTTGTGATAACAATCAAGTAAAAAATAAATACAAAAATAAAAGAAAAAAGTTTTAAAAAATAATATATATAATAATAATATATTTTTAAAAAAAGAAATTGCTGTAACCACAGCTGCCCCGCACACATATGCAAATGCAAGCCCAGGGTGTGCTTGCGTATGTAAACCGTGCTCGCACCACGTGTGAGATATTGCCGCGAATGTCAGAGTGAAAACAATAATTCTAGTACAAGAGCTCCTAGTTAACTCAAAAACTGATGAGCTATAAAGGCTCCTAAAACATCACCTATGGTGATTTTTGGAAACCGTAGTTTTTGGCTAGATTGCGAGCGCACGCAATTTTAAAGCATGGAATGTGTGGTATCTATTTACTAGATGCAACCTTATATTTTAACCAAAAATGGGTAATATATTGTGTGTTTTTACGCAAAAATTTATTTGCACAAATATCATGTGACATAAAAATTTGCACCTATCAGCTTTCTATTCTACAGGGCCTCTGCTTTCAGAAAATATATAATGTTCTTGGGGTTGAAGTCATTTTATTGCCAAAAATTAAGATTTTTACAAGCATGTGAAAAATAAAAAAAACTGCTCTGGGGCCGAACTGGTTAAGGATTAAAGTAGATGTGAAACAGTACAAACAATACACATGCTAATAATCAAGAAAACATTACATTAAGGTAATTAAAGTATTAATTACTCACTCTTTGTACGCTCATATGAAACGAGTTTGTGTTTTACCAGCTCCCGCAGAATTTTGTTGCAACCACCATGCTTGAGACTGGCTATAGAGGCTATTAAACTTGCAGGCACTATCTCGTGGTTCTTCATACCCATTTCCACCTAAAATGTAAAAAAAAAAAAAAAAAAAGTTTTGTTTTCCAAGATAACTTAATTCTAGGAATCTTCCAGGTCAAAAACTTGATACAGAGTACTATTCCCACCTGATAGAGGAAACATAACCACAGAGTCATGTGAAGACTAAAAAAAAAAAAAATCAAAAGTGGGGGGAAACCTGAGCTGTCTTGGAGTTTTTCTAAAAAACAAATTATCTGGTAAGAACACTGAACCTATAACCTAAACGTGTCTGGCAGGGGAAAGGGATTGATACTGTATCAAATAAAAAGGTGCACACAACAAAACTTCAAATTCAGAGTATACTTGCCCCTCTCATGTCTCACACCTTCCCTCCATTTGAGTCCTGCAGCCTCTTTGACATTCTACATTTCAGGATGCCTGTATCCTCTTCTGCCATGCACTGTGACTCCTTTCTCCAACCCCTATAAACCTTTGGTGTCCTTTAAAGCAGTATTAAACCCAAAACCAATCAAAACCCCCTGATGAAGCTGCGTGACCTGCAGCGTAACGCGTAGGGGAGGGGCTACGACGTCACCCGGCACCCGAGGACGGCAAGTACACACAGTAAACGGCGGACACGCTGGCTGATATTTATCGTGGATGTTATACTATAAACGCTTGACATTTTTATATTACATGTGAGTGCATTTGGGCACATATTAAAGGTTTGTTATATTTAAAGGATAAGGCGCTATGTCTATGTCTCTTTTGTACTGAGGAATATCTTAAGGAGGAGATTGAGCGAGAGATCCCTGCAGTGATAGTGGTAGGAGAGGAGAGCCACGTTGGAACAGCAATTGGAAGATACTCACCACTACTGCTATGGTGCAATATATGATCTATATTTCCATTTGGTGAACAAAAGCTGGTTGAGCCTTTCAATAGGCTTTAAATGAGGTGAGCGCATATTGAGAATATAATAAGAAGTCACCGGGAATTGCAATTTCTCACTTTGGATTTGTTACTTTCATCAATAGAGACTGTTTTTTTTTTTTATCACTTTTTTATATTGGTTTTTTATCACATTATCACAATGGACGTTTATGACCACTTATTACACGTATAGTGATTATTTATATATTTTTCTTGGGAGATATTTAATATTTTTTATAAAAAATGTTTTATTAGTAATTAGTAGCACGGCACTATCCTTTAAATTGGTTTATGTTTTATACACTTTGTTTGAGTATGTGTTTGGTGCTGACGAACCTCTTTCAATTTAGGTAGTGGCTCACAAGTTAATTAATTATTTCAAAAATGTAATATATTGTAACTTACCAATTAGATATGGTGGCTACATTAGTTTTCTTTTTATGCTTTTTTCCCCTCAGTTTTCACCTGGTGATCTGGCCAGAAACACACCTTCTGTATTAGAGTGCCACCACTCTGGATAAAGGAGTACAGGGGCACCTTTGGACAGCTGCATTGTCAGTCTGGGGCAGGGTGGTGTTAGATGGACTAGCAGATTTAGATACACTAACAAATTGAAGCCAAACTCCAGCTAATACTTTATAATCAGTCACAGCAAACAATTTTTTTTTCCTTTTGGATACAGGGTTTAAATAAATAAAAGCTAATAACTGTAAGTACCTCTGTTAAGGCCCCTTTCACGCGAGCAGACCGATGGGGTCTGCCTGTCCGTTTTTCAGGTGGACCTGATCGGTCCATCCATAAGACTTTTATGGACCGGCGGGTGTGTGACAATAGTCCGCTGACACCCACTGGCATCCTATCCTGTATGCCAAAAACAGATCGTCCAGCGGATCGGATGACAAACAGGTGGAAACGGACAGGCGGTTCTGAAATCAGTAGGCAGTGTCTGTCACCCGCGCGCTCAGTGGAATGATCCCCCTGAGCAAGTGGATCACACTGACGGATCAGCCATGTCTGAAAGAGGCCTAAGTAGTAAATGGTTTGTTGCAACACTGTAACTGCTATATCTGTAGAACAGTGTGTTCTGTTAAAAATCAGACTTACTAGCCAGATCACCAAGTCAAAATAAAGGAAAGAAAACAAAAAAAAAAAGCAGATCGTTGGGAGCACCCCTGTCAGCAGTAAATGCTTTTTTTTCCATCCCTGTAAACTGATTAATCTGGAAGAGAGGTTGTACTATCTTAATCTAGTGATCCAGTCAGTATGTCTGTAGTTTTTCAAAATTAGAAAGAAAGCCTAAAAATAAAAAAAACTAATACAACCATCACATGTAAGTATTGGTAAGCTGCAATACAATAAATGTTTGCTTTTGAGTTTTAGGCTCCATGCACACGGGACGTTTTAATAATGCTGGTAACGTTAGCTGTATAAAATCACATTAAAAACGTGAGTTTTTTCAGCATTTTGCATTAGAGTTTAGCCACGTTTGTGTTATTAGGGTTTTTTTTACTAAAAAAAAGAACTTTTTTTTTCTCAAAAAAACATCCAAAAATGAGGGTTTGCCACGTTTTAACTAAAAAAAACTCCTCTAGAAACCCACTAGTTCTGGGGGTTTTTTTCCAGCCAAAAAACGCTGATTACAGTCTATGTGTGCATGGACACATAGGATAACATGCTGGGAGTTTATGGTTTACATGAAAGTTATAGCTTTTACAAATGGTGGTATAGATACTGGAAATTTTTTTTATACTAGTAATGGCGGCGATCAGCGACTTATAGTTGGACTGCGGCGGGCATTCTGACACTGGGGAGAACTGACTTCATGTCACTGACATCCCCAGTGACACCAATAGTGATCAGTGCTAAAAAAACAAAAGCACTGACACTGTACTATTGACACTTGGCAGGAGGGGTTAACATGAGGGGCAATCAAAGGGTTAACTGTGTGCTGGGAGTGTTTTACTGGAGGGCGGGGTGTTGGTGCTTCACTGTAAGCACACTGCTCTGGATGGCTGTGCTCTGCACAGCCATCCAGAGCAGTGTGCCCAAGCCGACAGGAGGGGGGAGGAGTGTTAGTAAACAAAGCTGTCCTCTTCCCTACAGGAGATGCTCGGTAATCACCGGGCGCCGGTGGGAAATCAATGGCCGGGACCAGTGATTGACAGCCGTGGCTGCGAATGGCCAGAACTGTCACATGGGGCGGGGTCACTTGGGTGATGTCCCCTGGTGGCCCCTCCCCTTACATATTTAAGAACTGCCCAACCACCGGAGCAGGCAGAAGGCTAGAAGCCATTGTTGGAAGTGGAGTCTAATTTTTTTTTTCCTTTTTTCGGGTTGCTGTGATTAACGTTGGATCTACTATGGGGTACATTCTTTTAATAAAGGACTTGTCAAAGACCATGTCCTGTCTTTTTTCACACTACACTTTTTGTTTATTGTGAATGAGTATGGGGACCATGTACCCCATACTCATTCATATGGGGGGGCCCAGATTCCAATAAGCCCGCAGACCCCCACAACCACTGGCCAGGGTTGTGGGGAAGAGGCACTTGTCCTCATCAACATGGGGACAAGGTGCTTTGGGTGGAGAAGCTCCCCCTGCCACAAAGCACCCCCCCCCCCCACCACGTTGAGGGCATTCAAATTTATGACAACATAAAATTCTCCCATAATGGAACTATATTGTCAGCCCCCATTACACACAACGTGCCCAGAGGCTGTGCGGACCACCTCTCACAATCACATGGGCCCCCTTCTCCAAGCCAGACACAAGACTGCCGTCCCCTCCCTCACAATCACATGGGTCCCTTTCTTCAAGCCAAACACAAGACTGCCGCCGCCACCTCCCGTAAAATCACACACATACCGCGGTCAGCACTCTGAAGTCATCTCTTGATAGGTACCGAAGCAATACCACATTCAGCTTCCCCATGGCGACCACCTGGCTGCCTGGAACGCAGAAACTCACACATGCGTTCCACGTGTACGTCCAGACGCAACTTCCTGCGGGAGAGTCCTTGCAGCGCTGTAGTAAAGCTAGCGCTCTTGTTATTATTTCACCGAAACGTCCTCATTTACAATGAGTGCTTTTGGTGATGTGGATAGCATAGTATTGTCCGGAAATACGGCATGGTGGAGTGAGGGGGATCTCCCAGGGAAGGGTGAATGTGCTTTGTTGTTGGTAGTACGGTGCTGCTGAGGCCCTGGCTGCCAAGGAGAAAACTGAAAAGTTTGAAGTGGGCGGGAACAGAGAGGAGAGCCAGGGACTCGCACAGCACCAGGTATATGGAGGTGTGGGGTGAATTCTGTTATTACACATTGACACGCTGAGAGTATTAGTGCAATGGGGGTTTAATGTGCTAGGCCATGCTGGGACATGTAGTACAACACACAGTGGTGGCTGGTAAATTACAATCATTGCAAAGTTCCAGGCTGGGGCTCATTAGTGGACATTTCTACGATGGCTGAGCTCTGGCTATGCTGTGCTGAATGTGTAGTTTTTATACCCGGGACATGTTCTGTTCTAGCATACGTGGCTGTACATGTGTTCCAGTTTAGAGAAGGGAAATGATAAAACCCAATCAGTTTTTTTTCTCTTCTCTGTGTACTATTGAGGAAATTTCCCCTCACTTCCTGTCTTGTGCCCACAACAGGAAGTGAGAGGAAATCCTCTCTCAAGCTCCATTCACTTTCGTTGTTAAAGTGGTTGTAAACCCTCACATATACCCTGTGAAGTGACAGGCCTCAGGTTGATACACAGAGAGGAAACAAATCCTCCTACATATGTTGTACCTGTGTGTCTGCAATCTTCTCTTCTCTACATCTGCTCAAAGTCCAGAATTTATACAGCTTGTCTGAGCTGCCAGAAAGCAGGGGGACAGGGAGCTGCAATTACAAACTGAGAGCTCAGTGAAAGCTGATTGGAGGAAAGGGGTGCCCCCCTTCACACAGGAACAGAGCTGAGGCTCTCAATCACAGGCTGTGTACTGGAGCTCTCTCCCCGTCACCTTTTTTTTCTCTGGTGTCTGGAAAATTTGTCAGAAGCGACTCCTGCAGACAGCAGGGGGAGGAAGAAGCAGACAGAAACAACATTAAGGCCAGTTCACACTACATGCGTTTCAGTAGCTTTTTTGCTGCTTCCAAAACTCACAGAAAGTAGGTTATATTGTTTTCAATGTCATAGTTCACATCACTGCTTGCAGTTCCAGCACGTTCTGGTTGCAGAAAAAAAAGTAGAACATGCTGCATTTTTTCTGCACAGAACTGCACTGGAACGCGGTTAAACACATGAGAAATGCACTGGAACGCACCAACAACACACTGGAACGTACATGACTCTATTTAAATTGAAGAAAGAGAGAGGGGGAAAAACGCACCGGAACGCGTCAAAAACGCACTGGAACACATAAAAAACGAACTGGAACGCGTCAAAGTGCATGCAGAAACGCATCTAGAACACATCTGGACTGTGTTTCTATAGTGTGAACTGGTCCTAAGACTCTATTTTCTAGATTTACCCCCCCCCCCCCGACCAGGCCATTTTTTGCGATACGGCGCTGCATTACCTTAACTGACAATTGCGCAGTCATGCAACGCTGTATATACATGAAAATTATACCCTTTTTTCCCGACAAAAAGGGCTTTCTTTCAGTGGTATTTGATCACCTCTGTGATTTTTATTTTTTGCGCTATAAACAAAAAAAGACCAACAATTTTGAAAAAAAACCAATATTTTTGACTTTTTGCTATAAAACATATCCTATAAAACATAAAAAAAACTTAAAAAATCTAATTTCTTCATGAATTTAGGTCAAAATGTATTCTGCTACATGTCTGCTAAAAAAAAAATCCCAATACATGTAAATTGTTTTACGTGAAAGTTATAGCATCTATAAATGGCTGTATATATACTGGAATGTTTCTTTTTTTATACTAGTAATGGCGGCAATGAGCCACTTCTAGTGGAACTGTGGCAGGCATTCTGACACTGGGGGGGAACTAACTGCCACTGACATCCCCAGTGATACTAATACAGTGATCAGAGCTAATAAATAGCACTAACACTGTACTAATGACACTGGGCAGAAAGGGGTTAACATCTGGGGTGATCAAAGTGTGGGTGTGTGTTTTTACTAGACAACACAGCATGTCCATGCTGACAGGAGAGAGATCTGTGTTGTTTACACACAAGTCTCCCCCCTGTCAGCTTTCCCCGAAAATCGCTGAGTGCCAGCCAGGAATCGCTGCCCAGGACCCTGTGATTGACATCTCTAGCCACCAATAGTGTCACTGGTAGGGCGGTGTGCGTACCCCTTACCCGGAAATGCAAATTACGTATACAGTAATACCTTGGTTTATGAATTTAATTCGTTCTGCGGGAATTTTCGGATAGCGGAAAAATTCGTAAACCGAAACACCATTTTCCATAGGAATGCATTGAAAACCAATTAATCCATTCCTGAGGTCAGAAAAAAGTCAAACACAAGTCTTTTATCTGTTCAAAACTCTTTTTAAAGTGCACTTTTTAAAGGCATTAATATTGTACAGGGACAGGATTACTCAAGCAATAACATGTCAAACATTGATCTTCAAATTTTAAAGCACACCTCTTCTTTTAAAACATGGCAAACTTTTCAAACAATTTCAACACTCTCTGGAGGAGGAGCAGAGCAACTGGACAGCATAACACAAGCGGGTTCTTCTTCATGTCTAGGCTGTTTTATTAGGAACCTTTCCATCGTCTGCTGCCTCCGGTGCCTTTTCAGCATCCCTCGGCTGAAAAGGCATCCGGATATGACGTCAAGTCGTCAGTCACTAGAGCTCCTCCCACTGGCGTATCTACGCGTTACGTCACTTTGGTCACGTGACTTCATCAGCACTTTGGTCACGTGACTTCATCATGACTTGACGTCATATCCGGCGCGGGCGCCATCTTGGTGCTCCTTGTTTCTTGTATGCAGTACACCCTTTGAGTGGTGTGAAGGCCTGATTTTGCTGAAGTAAAGTGTGAGTAGGATTTTGTTCCTTTTAACTATTTTTTTCCAATAAAACGGTTTTACACTATATAAGCTTTTCTTGCCTTACTGGTGACCATCCTGGAGGGGCATATATCTATACCACCTACGATCCAGGATAGAGACAAGAAGGGGGTCCCACCATCATTACTTGAAAGATCCATCCAGCTCCAGGAGAGATACTTGTTATATACCAAGGCTCATTGGTCCTTAGGGGCCTGGGCAGGAAGGTGAGGGGGCACTGCACCTACTGAGGATTGGCACCTAGAGTTCACATCCACATGTAATTTATAAATGCACATGGACACTATCCACTAAACTGTGTTGAAATCACTACAGTGCATGAGACCCCTGTTTGAGTGTGTAATATTTACAGTCTGCACTCCCCATATATATGTTTATGGTTATTTGGGCTATAATACGTATTAATAGTATAATTGATTGTGTTCTTATACTTTTGTTTATATTCATTGTTTGTAGCGCCGCACTGTTCTTATAAATATCTCTTGAATGGGCTGCCCTATGCATGTTGTGTGAAAACATGTAAAAGAAAAAAAAAAAAAAAGAAAGTTCACAGAGTGTGTAGATGTGAATGGGGCCTAAGATAGTTGTCATGGAAACAAGTGTCCCCATTGGAAGATTTCTTCTCTTTTTTTACTTTTTTCAATGACAGGGTAAAATTTTCGATTTCCTATCATCACTTTCCATTACAATGATATTGGTCATCAGAGTGCCCCATAGACGTGCGTGCAAAGTCTCGCCCCATAGACGTGCGTGCAAAGTCTCGCCCCATAGACGTGCGTGCAAAGTTTCGCCCCATAGACGTGCGTGCAAAGTCTCGCCCCATAGACGTGCGTGCAAAGTCTCGCCCCATAGACGTGCGTGCAAAGTCTCGCCCCATAGACGTGCGTGCAAAGTCTCGCCCCATAGACGTGCGTGCAAAGTCTCGCCCCATAGACGTGCGTGCAAAGTCTCGCCCCATAGACGTGCGTGCAAAGTCTCGCCCCATAGACGTGCGTGCAAAGTCTCGCCCCATAGACGTGCGTGCAAAGTCTCGCCCCATAGACGTGCGTGCAAAGTTGTGTCCCATAGACTTTAATTAAAAAATGCCCCCTTAGTGACTTCATTGCAAAATCACGTCCCGTGTACTTCAGTGCAAAATAGCATCCCAATAGACTTCAGTGCAAAATAGCGTCCCTATAAACTTCAATGCAAAAACGACCCATAGTGACTTCAATGCAAAATGGCGTCCCCATAGACTTCATGCAAAATCGTGTCCCATAGATTTCAATACAAAATCCCATTGCATAGATTTCAATGCAAAAACGCCCCCTAGTGACTTTAATGCAAAATTGCATCCCATAGACTTCAATGCAAAATTGCATCCCATTGACTTCAATGCAAAAATCCCATTGGTGTGATCTAGTAATCTGTTGTTTTTCAACAGAACAAGCTGTCTTGAAGATGTAGCCCTTAGTTGAGAAAGACCCCTTTCACATGGGTGTTCCGTATGTCCATTTTTCATCTGTCCATTTATGGATGAAAAACTGACACCCATGTATTTCTATGGACTAGTGGATGTAAACGGATGATTATCTGTTTACAGCTGTTAATGTCCGCATCTGTTAACATCCGTTTTTTGTACAGAAGAAAACCCTATTTTTCTTCCGTTAAAAAAACTAAACGGACAAAAAACGGATGTAAACAGACAAAAATGGATGTAAAAGTATGTAAGGCTACTTTCAGACTGAGGAGTTTTTTGAATTGTTTTTGCATTAAAAAAGCGTCTGAAGAGCTCAAGAAAATGCTTCCCTATGTATGTGAATGTATATCTATGTATGTTTTCACACTGAGGCCTTGTGGTGTGGTGTAAAAAAAAAACACCACAGAAATGCCTCTTTCCATTGAAATCAATGGA